GAGGAAAGTACAAAACCTGTGAATTCACTCTGCCTCTGGTAGCTCTCCTGAAAGGTAGCTTCAGCACCACTACAAGTTCTTCCCTGCAGTGTATAGCTGCTACAACCTGCTGGTTGTGCTTTTGGGCCTACTAGCGATGTTCAGGGTCTCCCTGGCCACCGGCAGGGTATGGGAGCCTACCGTTGCCAGATCCAGGTTGGTAAATTCCTGGAGATTTGGAGGTGGAGCCTGGTGAGGACAGGGACCTCAGTGGGGTTCAATGTCATAGAGTCCACCCTTCAAAAGCATCCATCATCCCCAGAGGAACTGATTTCGTAGTCTGGAGATGAGCTATAATTCTGGGGAATCCCCTGGTCCTACCTGGAGGCTGGCATCCCTCAGGCCTACTCTTCATTCATACAGAGTGATGGTGAAGAATGTGAACTACTATCTAAAGCATTCCTCAGAATCCTCCACAACATTCATCGGTTTCGTAACACACACAAAGAGATAGCAGTGCAGGTGAGTCAACATGGAAAGTCTTATCTTCGAAAAAGCTACCACCTCAGAAAAAAGTAGACTTAAAAAAAACCCCACCAGCATTAAACCTTCTGTGCCGTATTTAACTACACACAAGTTGAAACTGTGCTTGGTACCCCGCCATCCCCATTAAGGCGGTAGACTAATAAGCTGTCTTCAGAAAGCAAAGCTTTTAATTAAACAGCATGGATAAATAAATCAAAACAACAGACTAATCGTGGCGAACTCAAAGTGAAAGAAGGTTTCCGTATGAAGTCAAGAGTAAAATTCCTCACGTGTTTGGTCCGCTGAAAGGCAGTTGACTCCATAGGATGCGTGTTGAGAGCAGCCATGGGGGTTTGGGGGTGTGTGGGGAAAAAACCTGAGAAAGAACTGCTTTTCCTCCCCCTTCTGTGATAATCGTTTTCCTTTGTCAGTTTTACTTATTGCAAGCGAAACTGAAAAGAAAACTGTTAATGGGAAATACAAGAATGAGTCACATTTACCAGCCCTTTTTGCCAGCCGTTCAAGATGGGTGTCAATCCAGGCCTGATTATTAAGATTTGCTTTTTAAAACACTAATTTAAAAAATTTGCTTAAAGCACAAAGCTTGCGTTTGATTTCGATGAATGCTAGATTAAACAATACATTGTAGTGGGAATGGTTTAATTGCCCTCTAATGGCTCATGGTGTGTGGTACGACTGCAGCCATATTAGGAACAGCTTTGAGTGGGGGCCGCTTTTCTGAGAAGAAAACAAAATGCATTTAAAGGGCTTTCAACTTGTTTTAAATTGCAGTATATGGTCCATTACTAATGATATCATCACTACAGTCCACTTTCCATTGTCTAGCAAAAAGGAATTCATTTGGAGAGCTAATTGAAAGCCATTGGCAAACGGGAAACTGCAGTGAGTGGTCAACCGTGCAACACTTGGATATTTCGCTTTATCAACATGAATCACCATGAACTCATTTACTCTTGTGGAGTGCATTGTTCTCGCACTATAAATTGGTATGAATGGGAAAAATAGAAACACAGACAGGCTTAAAAGAACATGTCTGAAATCACTGACTGGTCTGGCTTGATCACTTCAGGAGCTGTGGCCAAAAAAATCTTTCATCCACATCCCTAAAATACAACCCCCCCAGGGGTCATTTGGGGGGGGACACGGGGGGGACGCCATCCCCCCGGGTGAGGTGCGGGAGGGCGGGGCCTGGAGCTCCCTGCTGGTGCCCGCTGGAGGTTGCCGCCGGCTGTGGGGAGGACACACTTCCGGTGATGTCAGGGGGTGTGGCATATGCTAATGAGTTATACTAATGAGTCCCCCTAGCTCTTTTTCTATGAAATGACCCCTGCCCCCCCCATTTTGCCAGTATTACATGGGGGAGGAATCCTCTACGTGAACAGGTACTGTTAAAATAGCAAAAAGAAATAGGGTTGCCGTCTCCTGCTGTTACAACTGATCTCCAGGCAACAGAGATAAGTTCACCTGGAGGAAATGGCGGCTTCAGCAGGTGGACTCTATGGCATTAATACCCCATTGAAGTCCCCCCTCCCCAAACTCCACCCTCCTCTGGCTCCACCTCCCAAATCTCCAGGTATTTCCCAACCTAGAGCAGGTAACCCTGACTAGAAATGAAGTCAATTAGTTAATGACTGTCACTGTCTCCCTTGAAACTAGAATGAGGTTCATCTAAGAGAAAACAAAACCCAAACGACCTAGTCCAGTGGTGGCGAACCTATGGCACGGGTGCCAGAGGTGGCACTCAGAGCCCTCTCTGTGGGCACGCGTGCCATCGCCCCAGCCAGGCCCAGACCATCATTAAAGTGTCGAATTCTCTGCCAAATAATTTTAAGTAAATGAAAGCATTTGGGATTGCTTTCCTTACTTTCTTTGGATCATCTTAAGTTAATGTATGAGTTGTTTTTTCTAAAATAAAACCTCAGTATTCAGGTTAAATTGCCGTGTTGGCACTTTGCGATAAATAAGTGGGTTTTGGGTCGCAGTTTGGGCACTCGGTCTCTAAAAGGTTCGCCAACACTGACCTAGTCCTAGAAATGGGAAGCTATCATCTTAGTGTGTAGTGCAACAAATGCATCCAGCCAATCGCTGATCCATTTCTGGGCTTCCATGAACTGCCCCGTCTGTTGACCATCAGCTGGCCCAGCGCTGGTACGGAAACGCCAGCCAGGAGATGTTGACAAGTTCTCATAAGTCATTTCCTAGGAAGAGCAAGCAGGGAATTCACCATGATTACAGCTACGTGTGAGGAAGCTGCGGTGGCTCAAGTGGTTAAGACGCTGAACTGCAGGCTGTGGAAGGACAGTAGTTCAGCAGTTCGAGACCCGGGTGCCGCATGATGGAGTGAGCTCCCATCTCTAGTTCCAGCTCCTGCCAACCTAGCAGTTCGAAAGCAAGAAATTGCAAGTAGATAAATAGGTACCACTTCAGTGGGAAGGTAACAGCGTTCCGTGCACCTGGGTGTTTAGTCATGCCGGCCACATGACCACGGAAACGTCTTCGGACAGCGCTGGCTCTTCGGCTTTGAAACGGAGATGAGCACCGCAACCCTAGGGTCGGATTTGACTGGCTTTCGAGCAAGGGAACCTTTACCTTTACTTTACAGCTACGTGTGACACATTGTCTTTTCCTTTCCAGCACTCTTCAATATTTCCATTTGCCTTGATAGAGCTCTGCTTCATTCCTCACCGTTATCCATCAAAGGGGGAAAGACTTGCTTTGTTGGGAATCAGCTCCTTGGGCTATATCTCTTGGTAAGCATTTCCTTTCAATGAAACAAATCTTTATCACATGTTGCCTTGGCGCCTCTTCTCAACAGGCAAGAAGCCAAGAGGGAATTCCTTCTCCCACTAAGGCATTACACACGGCCGTGAAGCCCTTAGCGGAAAATGGCTCTCTTAAACAAAAGAAATCCCAACAGTTTAAGCCATAATACGCTTCTGAGCTGACTTTGGGAGCAGCTTGGGCACTCTTGAACGGCTGCTTTATGTGGCTGTATACGAGCAGCTCCCGAGCTTAATCCAATCCTGGATTTAATGAGATTATGTGTGCTGCTTATCGAAATTCCTTTCCCATGTACCAGTGCTCCTTTGTCCCTGGAGTGCTGGGAGTTGCCCTGTCTACAAGTTGCACTGTGGTGACCTTGAGACTGATGGAGGTTCTCTCAGAATTCTTGCTTAAAAGAGGCCACAGGAGGAACATGTGCCCTATTTACCGGGGACAGACCCCGTTTTCTCTCTCCCCCGATGAATCACAGTCTGTTTTGCCTTTCTTTTTGCTTTTTGGTAGTGCCTTGTTAAAAAATCTGGCCAGGGTTCTGCTCTCCACCCAGGGCCTTTGAAAATTAAATTTTGAGAGGAGAAAGGATCTCGCATTCCGTGCACATCCATGCAAGACCCAGGCACTATGCAGCACAGTGCACAATTTCAGACACTGCAGCCAGTGAGATTTTTAACTGCTGAAAACAGTTATTTTTCCAGGGGGAACTTGAGGCAGCATGATGTATTGGTGCAAATGCTGGATTAGGATCTGGGAGTTGCAGCTCTGAATCTCCTGTCTGCTGCGGAAGCGCGTGGGGTGACCTGGAGCCAGTCACTATCTGTCAGCCTAGCCTACCTTACAAGATTGTTGTGAATAAAATAGGGGACGGGGAAATAAGCAGCTTTGGGTCCCCATCGGGGAGAAAAGCCGGGTATAAAATAAATACATCACGTCCCCACAAAAAAACCTATTGGCATTTAAGATAGTAGAAGATGGATTATTTGGCCTCTTCAATCTAGAATCAGAACTGGGCTTAGCCGTTTTCTGGAGGTTGCTGTGCTTGCCTCGTGTTGATACCGTTCACTGGGAACCATGGTCTACACTCATAAATGCCTTCGTTTGTAAGCTGGCCTTTCGTCCAAGCAACCTGGTGAATGCCCACCTCGGTGGGGTTCCTGCACTCTGCTGCATAGACAAGCCACTCGCCTGGGCCAGAAACTTATATTTGAGCAAATTTAAATTGATACATTGACTAATTTTAAACACCTGCCTGGCTACCTGAATTTAGGTCCTTGATAGATTCAGGTGGGTAGGCGTGTTGGTCTGAAAAAACAGGAAAATGTTTCAGTCCAGTGGCACTGTGCGTATGCACGAGAGATTATACCCAGAATTAAACTTGGTTCGTCTTAAAGGTGCCACTGGACTCTCAAAGTTTTTTCTGTTAGAATCATGATGTTTGAGTTTTATGTTAAAACGCCCCCCCCCCCGCTTCCAGTGTGCCCACAGGCAACCAAACCATCACATGCCTGGCTTCTTAAAAACATCTCATAAGGAGTTTGCCTGCCTGTGATTGGTTACATCATTTTTGCAAGGAATGTGCAGGCAGAGAGATATTAATCTCTGGTGATCCCTGGCCCAAAAAACCTATTGGCATCTGGCTGTCCTCGACCAGGGCCAGGGCCTTTTCTGTGCCGGCCCCGGCCTGGTGGAACTTTCTGCCAAATAACATCCACGCCCTGCGAGGCCTTACGCAGTTCCACAGGGACAGCAAGGCAGAGATGTTCCGCCAGACCTTTGGTTAAGGACAGTGATGGGTACCATCTTGTCTGGCACTCCCTCCCTCCTTCTCCCCCCCCCTCGACAACTACACTCCCATCTTACACACCCCCACACAAGGTGGGGACACAGTTATAATTAAATGTATCTATGCCATCTAAATAACTATGAATTGTTATTGATGGAATTGTTTTTATTTATGGAATTTGTAACAACAGTTTTTAATCGCTGGAATTGTTTGGACATGATGTGTGTTTATTGTTGTTCATCACTCAGAGCCCTGAGTTCCCAAGGACTGAGTGATTTATAAATCTAACATAAAAAAATAAATTATATATGGATCTGTTTTAACTGGAACGTCTTAACGGAAGTACTGCTATATGTGTCTTGCTTTCTCTGAGCAGTAGCACTTACCTGGGTTGGTTTCCTTTGGAGGAGAAAACACTGTAGGCTTATGATGGTTTATTGGCATTTGTTTTACTTACTGATATATGGGCTGGGCAAAGGTCACGCTGAAGTGGTGCCAGAGCAAAGCAGCAAATCCACCACCCCACATTGGAACCCAGAGAGAGCCTCTGTTCCTCCTCCAGCCTGCTCTAGCCAACTCCCAGCTCTATCGTCATCAGTGTTCCCTCTAAGATGAGTTAGTGTGAACTAGCTCACAGTTTTTTAGCCTCCAGCTCATACATTTTTGTCTTAGCTCAGGGAGGATG